TTAGATAAATTACATATTATCTCATATACTTAATATTAATTAAATGATTTACATATTTTTTTCAAAGTTTGTCCAAAGCCATATCATGTTTGGATTTCGGCTAATCAATGTGTTTGGAGTTGTGGTGAAGGTACTCAACCTGATACTACAACTAATGAATGTGTCTGTGAAAATGGATATTATGAGATAGGTACTGATGAATTTGGAAGAAGAATCTGTGCTAGTAAGTATTAGTATATAATAATGCATTATATAAATAATGAATTCTATGTTAGAGAGATAACTAATAGATTTTTGCAATAGATAAATAATTAATAGACAGATTGGATTGTCATTTTTACATTTTTACTAAATCTTTGATTGTAATATTAACATCAATGTATTAGTTTATCTTGCAGACTTGTTCTTAAAATGAATTTTGTAGTTCGATATAATGCGTAGACCGAAGATTTTCAGAAAAAATATTTGTTTATTTTTGGCTTCCTTGAAAGTGTTTTTAAGAAGTCAAAAGTTATGGTTTATAGCCAACACATTGTGCACTTTCTAAATATGGACTTAGAAATTTCATATGAGTTTTTTTATTGAGAGAAATAAAGTAATCTTTCAAAGATCCAAAGATTGAGTTTGGATAGAGAATATAAGTCGAAGTTTCTCATGCAAATGATTGCTCATTGTTGATCTGATTGAAAGTATCTTAGAGAAGTCACAAGCTATGTATGATGATCAAAATTTTGTCCTCTCTTTGAATATGAGATTAGGAATATTGTGTCTATTTTTGTTCGCCAATAGTGAAGGAATAGTATTTTGAAGGCTTAAAATATTCGATTGAATGATGAACCAATAGGTTTTTTCCTAATCCAATATATTGAACTAAGCTGTAGTGGTACTTTGCCAACAGCTCCTTTCTATACAAAATGCATTTTAGTCAAAAAGTCGATTTTTTCAAAAATGAAGATTTAAGAGAAAAACAAAAAAAACTTCAATAGCAATTTTTGTAAGGTAGCATGTGCTCTACAAGCTGATATATTAATAAAGATGTCAACATTTACTTTTGAATTGCAATAATCAAAGTACAAACATGTAATGAAGAAAATTTCTGTTGAAATTATTTTTTTGGGTCTCTAAAAAGATCATCTTATTGATCTCAAGAAAATTTCCTAAGCCTACATTGAGAAAGAGCACAAATTTCTAGTTATAATCCATAGCTTTTGATTTCTTGAAAACACTTTCAGGCTAATGAAAAATAAACAAACAAACATTCACTTGCAAAACTTTCGGTTCATCCATTATTTATACAAAAAGAAAGCTAAGAAGCTTCTCATATATGTTGACTTCATATTTTAACACTTTTCTATCTTATTCTTATTGCTAATTCTTCTTTTTCTTTTTTTTAAAGAGTGTCCGGAACCATATCATGTTGTGACTTCGGATAAACGATGTGTTTGGAGTTGTGGTGAAGGTACTGAACCTGATAACACAACTAATGAATGTGTCTGTCAAAAGGGATATTATGAAACGGGTACTGATGGCTTTGGAAGAAGAATTTGTTCACCATTATAATGGTCAATTAGGAAATTTATAAATATTTTTAAGAACTGACAAAAAAATGTTTTTCTCTTTAAAAGGTCTATGCCAAATATGCATAGGATGTTCAAAAAGTTCTGAGGATAGTAATCTAATATTTTACATGCAAAATATTATATTACTATTCTCAAAACTTTTTGAACACCCTATGTAAATTATTGCTTCAACTGTTCTTTTTTTTTCAACGTATTCATCATTTAATACTTATATAACTCATATATTATACATGACTTCATTTTAACTTGACAATTTGTACTTTTTTTTTAAATATATACGTGCATTGAAATCTTTCTTTTCTGCGGAGTTGGAAAGAAACAACCATCGCGTAACGAAATTCTACGCTTTTATTGTTATTATCGTATGTTCACTATTGGAAAGTTATCTGGGAAAAGAGATAAACATTCGATTCTTTTTCTCTTCAGTCGAAAAGATTTACGATATCATCGATGCAAATTAGTCAACATTTTAGTGAAATAGCTTAGCTAAAATTGATCAATTGTTTGATTCTTTCTCTTGCTCTTCATTATAATTATTTGGTTTTTGACAAAATGAACTATGACACCTAAAAGAAAATAGAGTATTCAAAAGGCTTTTGAACTTTGATAGTTAATCGCTATTTCAATAGAGATTCATTAGGTGAAATTGCAAAATACATAAATATTCTACGTACAATGGTTCAGTACATTGTCAAGATATACAAAATCTACAAATGCATAAAAAGAGTTTCTTGGTGGTGGAAGGAAGAGAGTTATGATAGAAAGAGTAGACGATTTTATACGAACAAACATTGATTTCTTAACGATGAAAATTATCTATATCACTAAAAGCTGAAATGAAATATCAATTAGGAATAACAATACCTACGACAACGATAAAATGTTGAATGAATGAAATTGGTTATTCGAGATTATTATTAATAAAGTAAAACATTTAAACTATGTAATAAAATATGTTGAAAAGAATTCTTGCTTTTGAAAGCAAAAATCATGTGATCTTATGATGCCAAATTTAATTTATTTGATCCCAGTTCCAAAGTAATATTTTAGATAAAAGTTAACGAAGAATACAATCTAGATTGTATATTACCAATAGCTAAATATCATGGAAATAATGTGAAAGTATGAAGTTGTTTCAGTCGAAAAGGAAGAGATAATCTAGTTGTTATCAATGAGACTTTAATAGGTGAAAAATACTAAACGATTTTGGAGGAAAATCTATTTCAATCAACTCGAAAATAGCGATTAGGATCAAATTTTATATTTCAACATGATAATGATCCTAAAGATCGAACATGAATTGTATCAGATTGGTTGGATGTGAAATGTCTCATCTAGCCATCAGCAAGCTCTCACGTCAATCCTAATTAACATCTATGAACCGAATCTGATTGACGAATTCGAAAATGTAGACGATCGAAAAATAAATATAAACGAAAATAAATATTGTTACAAGAATGGAATGAAATTGAAAACGATGTAATTGAAGCATTAGTTGAGAATCGTTTACAAGAAAGCATAAGCAAAGAGAGCTTTCCAGTTTGATACTAATAGAATTATAGAAGAAGAAAAAAATAAAAATGCGTCATGTTTCTTTCCGCTTTTGATATTAGAAAAAAAGACATAATACTATTATTGGTTATATTTTTAACTATGCTCAATAGGAAGATTGAAATATGATTGAGAAGGTTGAACATGAAATTAATTCAATTTCGTTCTTTTCATAAAGTTGATGGGTTTTTCTTGTATGAAAGAGGTGAAGTGTACGAATAATTTTTAGCATCTTTGAACATACAGAGTGTTTCATAAGTCACTTGCAGAATGAAAACCAAAGAATAGTGATTGTATTTTGAACTATTCGATGAATTACCTAATAATTCAGTTTTATCTCATGAAAGTGAAGCTAAATTTGCAGATGTATGACTCACTGAAAGTGTATGGAGAATATTTAAAACAAAAGTACAAGGAGAACAATTTTCAAACTTTAAACAACTGAGAACTAGATTGAACAAAGAATGAAAGAAAGTAGCTTGTAATGATTGACAAAATTCCCAAGAGACTTTGTGAATTAATAAAAAGTAGTGGACAATAAATAGATGATAGTTAAATGAGATTTTTGTATGATCGGATTAATATAAGAGTTTTTTTTCGTTTGTTTTTGACAAAATATCTTGTTGATTAATCTCGAAAAATTAATTTTCACATTCTCATGTTTATATTGTTTATTATTAGAAGGCAAGATATTATCCAACAATATGCCATTTGAAAGATTTGATACGAATATTTAAGGTTCAATTTAAAAGGTTGATTTGAAGATTGTTTTCTGTCTGTATATAAACTGATTTTATCGCATGTTAAGACTTATGAAACACTTTGTATCGTATGAATTGCAATATTTGTCGATAGCAAATCCATCATGCCATATCATTCGGCCACTTCAATTACAGAAAGAATTATCTGGAGATCCTACAAATTTATTGTAAAAAAAAAAAGATCAGTTATACTGTTAGATTAGTCCTCAAATAGGAGGTCAATGGGTGACGTGCACGGCATAAATTGTGACTTTTTTTAAACAAAATAGTGCGTATTATATATAGCATGACATTTAATATGTATATCATGATTATCTCCTGAACGGTAAGCTCTTTTGCGTTTAGTTTTCTACTATAATTAGATTATGGTAAAAGAAAAAAATGAGCAGTAATTTGCAGTCAAACGTTCTAAGTTTCATCGAAATATTCATACGATACATAGCAGAAAATAAGTATGTGAATAAACACTCGATTTTTTTTCTCCATAAAGATCAACGTGTAAATCTATCAACTTTGACCAAATTTATTCTGTACTAGACTCCCTTATTTAACGCAAAAATAAGGATTTTTATGTCTTTTCTGGAATGATCAAAATGGCGTAGGTTATACTAACACATGATTTCTTCAAAGTGTTCATAACAGTGACCGATTATTAAATGCTAGTTCACAGAATATTTTGAGCATAAACGAATTCCATATGCGAAAGGTTCACATTATTGTTGTTACAGACATCTGTGAAAGTTTTCGAAAAGTCTCATTTGCTAAGTAGAAAGCTAGACAGACATGCAGAACAGAATGCCACTTTACGACATTTGAAAACTTTCAAATCCTATAGTTCTCTAACAGAATCAGACGGATGACTAATTTTTTTCTATGAATATGAAAAGCCATAAGGACATTGTGTAAAAACAAGTTGATCCAGATTAACCTAGAAAAATCAGAATTATATAAAAAAAAAAGCAAAAAATCGTTGAAACACAACGGTACAATGAGTATGGAATTTTATTCAAATATTTGTTTCGATTAAAATAAATTAAAATCTTTTTTTTTTATTTTCTCAAGTATTGATAGATTTTTATTTATGATCAATAATATAAAACAATATTCATTATGTATGAATTGTTTTTTTCAGAATCGATTTATTCAATAAAAAGAAATTCGTATTGTCCTAAGAAAGTATATAAAAATAAATAGCTTTTGTTTATAAATCATATTTTTGCATTTAATTTACTTTAAGTTGTTCAAATTTAACAATAGTTTCTCGATTAGTTTGACGAATACCGTCGTGTATGAATACAATTCTATCACATCTTTTTGTTGGTAAATTATCTGCTTCAATGCACTCTTTTTGTATTAATAATTTATTTTTGTTGCAAAAAATAAAAAGGAAGAAAATTGCGTTTTTGTCGTCGTTATTGTCGTTTTGATTGAAAGCAAAAAAATATAATATAATAGAAAAGGAAAAAAATATATGTCTATCATTCTTCATATATTATGATATAAACGAAAAACTTATTCGATCTGATCAAATAAATGTTGATTTTAGACCAATGGACAAACAATAATCATGTTAATCACTAGAGAAAAGAAAAAGGTAAAAACCTAATTACAACGATACACATCAGTGCTTTCACATGTATCTGATACGTAGAAGCGCAAGGTTTGTTTTTTGTATTAATTAGATATTTATCAAAAAAAAAAAAGAATTTATCTCGTTTTCATCCATGCATATTTACATAAGAATCTTGTAATAACATGAAAATGATAAGGGCTTTTAGGTTCAAAAACAAGTTTAATCAAGTCTGGTTGACACTAAGGTCAAAGTATGGATCATTGCATCGAATATTTTGTTATTTTGTGTAATAAAAATTTATTTTTTATTTTGTAATTACAAATCAGCACGCAACGAATATGAAAGGCGTATATCGAATATGTCATATTTATTCATTGCTAAAGAAACAAAAAAAAAAGGAGTATAAAAAGTGTCACATTAGTAAACATATTTTGATTTTGATGTGATAGTTTTTCTTCTTCATTACAGTCAGTTATCGTATTGCAGGAGTATATTTTACGTTCTTTCAAATAAACATATTCTTCATAATGTATATTGTTCTTTTAGAAAAACAGAGATGAAGTTAATTTTCAACTAATTTTCAGTTTATTGATCGAATATTTTCATTTATATCACAAATCAAATTGAAGAAAACAAGTTTTTTATTTATTTATTTGAATGTCAATTTAAAACAAAAATAGATTAATAAGATTATTTAACATCATAAACAACGTAGGATAAGTATTAAAAGTCAATAGTTTTTCTTATTTTAATACAAATTAGACATATTATTCTTAATTTTTATATCATAGTTTTATATATTCATACTAATAAAATTAATGTTTATTAGATTAAGTATATTTTCAAATCAAAATCTTCATTTTAAATACCATAATAAAACGAAGATAAAACATTGCATATATTTATCATTTATTTTAAAAGATAACTATGCATAATTTAACATGATTTTCTACTTAGAATATAATGATTATATGCAATTATATTTCTTTTTTTATCCTTTTTTTCTATTTTTCTGAGTATGTCAAGGTTTTATATTATTGAAATGTTAAGACATCATGTGACTAACATTTCATATAGAAACAAAAAATAATATCAAATCTAACACACATATATATATATACATAATATTTCTATAAACGAGTTCATGTTCTAAGATAAAAACTTAAAGCAAGAATTTTGTTTATTAATATTTATAGATGATCTTATATAAAGAATTCTCCTATATTATATTTATACCGACATTGATTGCTTGACATTAAAATTGTATATAATAATATTGCGTCATTTTCTTTAACAAAAACGTAAGATATATACTGTTTGCATATATTAATACAAATAACACATCAGATAAATCCGAATCAATGAAGCGAATCCTAAGAAGGGATAGAGAAGCAGAAATAGAGCTGTTGTTTTATGCTCTTTTTTTTTTCTTTATTATATACCTTGATTAAAAATACCTGTACGGATAATTATAGTTGATAAGATGCACTTTAAAAGAAAAAATACGAGTGACTCTTTATACTTATTTATTTTATATTACTAATCTCTATATAAAATCAATCCTTCTAATAAGGTTTTTGATTATAGTTTCGATTTGTCAATGCATGATTGCTTATTTTCCTTTTACTATGTATTTTATCTTCGGCTTTTTTTCCCTGACTCTTACTATTGAAATATACAAGGAGCTTCATTATTATCGCTATTCTTACTTAACTTCTTTGATTATTGAACAAACACAAATACGACATAAGTAATTATTTCAACACGATTGCGTTTATCTACAATTAGTAATCAACGAACGACAATAATGTTTGAGAAAAGACTTGAACTATTTATCTAGTCTTTTCTTTTTCTATTTTATATTCTTTTGCTTTCTCTAGATTTTTCTCTTTTCTTCTTCGTTTTTTTTGCGACTCTTTTATCTTTCATTTGAAATATGAGAATATTAAAGAAAACATAGTTCATTATTATTATTATTATTATTATTTGGAGAATAATCTATTATCTATTTCTATACTTTGAATTGCCGTATATTTTATTAAACAATTCATATAGACTTTTTGTACATTGTCTATTTGTGTGTTTTGTAGATTATATTTTCTTAATCTAGCCTTTTTTAAAAAAACAATCATGGGTAATAATACTGGTGGACAAGGACTGAAAGTGGGCAAGACACTTACAGAATCTGATGTTGTTGAATTATCAGCTTTGTCTGGTTTTACACCAGAAAAAGTACGTGAATGGCATACAGGTTTCATGGTACGTATAAATTTACTGATGTTTTATATTGACAAATAATATTATGTTGATAGAAGCATAAGTATGTGTGTAGTTACAAATAGACATATTTTTCTTCCATCTAAGAATATTCAAACTAGTCTCATTAGATATCGATTGTGTCATAGGAAAACAAAAAAAAAAGAGATTAAATGAGTTTATGTTTCTTAATATAAATGATCCCTTGTCGAATAGTATGTTTTCATATTGTTCTGTAATGTATATAAAAGAGAATAATTGAATGCGTATTCTATCACGCATAATGATTCCTATTTCCGAGATCGTTTTTCTTTTTACTTTTAAGAGAAATTCTAAAGCAAATTACATGAAAACAAACCAAGAAAACTTGTCAGATATAATTAATAAAAGTAAACTTGCATCCTTTAAGGAACTTGTTAGCAACAATCATTTAATAAAGTAATTTATTTTATTTTATTATTTTTCTATTGTAGAAAGATTGTCCAACTGGAAAATTAAATAAGAAAAAATTTATCGAAGTTTATAAACAATTTTATCCAACTGGAAAAGCTGAAAAATTTTGTGAATATATTTTTCGTGCATTCGATAATGATAGTTCAGGCAGCATAGGTATGTAACAAATTTTTCTAATATATCTATTTCATGAGAATAAAAAACTCTAACTAAAATTTCACAATTAATAAAACGAAAAAAACAAACATAAATTCGTGGATAAATAAATATGATTATTATTATTTATTTAGATTTTTGTGAATTTTTAATTGCTATTTCGATAACTGCTCAACAAGAACCAAAGAAAAAATTAGAATGGGCATTTTCAATGTATGGTATGTAGTTCGTTTTTTTTTGAATTCTTATTTTTTATTTAAAGTAAAAACAAAGAACAATATATTTTTTTCTTATTAATTAGATATTGATCGTAATGGTTTTATTGAAAAGAAAGAAATGAAAAAAATTATGGATGTAAGAATAACATTTCTTTCTATTCTTTGTTTTTTAAGCCCTTTTTTTTTTGTTATTTTCAAAGGCTATTTTTGATCTTCTTGGAGAAGAACGAAAAGGTTCAAATACACCACAGCTAAAAGTTGATCAAATATTTACAAGAATGGATGCAAATGGTGATGGAAAGTTATCAAAAGAAGAATTTATTAGTGGTTGTTTACAAGATGATTATTTAAGAAGATTACTTGCACCATCAGCTTCATAAATTAACTTAAATATATCCACCTAAATTATTCCTTATGATACTCAATTTAATTTTTTTTTGTGTTTTTTTTGTTCTCATACACGTGCTTACATAAAAACTAAAGCCAATACGAATTTATTTGAGAAGAATTCTTTTTTTTTCTTAACAAGGCCATTGACATACGATGTTCTATGAATTAAATTTTATCTGAATAGTGTATCAATTGTGAAAGAAGCAAAAAAACAAGAAATCTGTATTCCGTAATACGACGGGATAACAAAACAATGAATAAGAATAGAGAAAATAAAAGTCATAATCTGATTTAAATTTTCATTTCATATATCCTTTTGTTTTATTTAGACAATGACAAAAAAAAGAAATCCCTTGATTTAACAATATTAATTGGAAGATTCTGAGAAATATAATTATGATTTTTTTTAATGTTTATCTTCACATGAAAATAAAACATCTTCTTTCATGATTGTTTCGATACCGGAAGAAAGTTTCTTTTTCTTGATAAATTCTAACTAATCGACGGATGTTAATTTAACGAACACGTAAATATTTAGATAAGCTAAACATGTGTCATACGTTATTAAAGTAATAATGCATACATCAGTAAGTTGCTGAGTACGATATAATCTGAAATATATGAAATGTTATATTTATTCACGACGTTAATATGTATTTGTCAAATTCTTCACAAAAAAAAACGAAGAAAAACGGTTTCATATATTAATTAAAGGTTTGCAAACGATAATTATCATGTGCGCATTTATATGATATATTTAATCAAGCGCATATTCGACATCCATTGTAAGAAAATTTTAATTCTTCACAGCAACTAATATATATAAATACATTTGAGATCAGAGATATCTTATCAAGAAAAGTATATCAATGAAAATGTTTGATTGACATTTTAAATCAATATATTCAAAAACAAAAAATGTTAAGCATTCGAATGATGAACTTATCAGATTTCAAAAGCTGTATAAAAAAAATTAATAAACGTCTTTATCTGTATTTCACTTCAAAACAACAAAAAACAAACAGAAATTTTTAATAAAATCATGTGTTTCATTTTTTTTTTTTTTATAAACATAAGTTTGAATTTCATCAAGAATGATCATCAATCAACATTCATACAAACATTTTCACATTATAAAACAAAAAAAAACGAAATGAAAGCGAATCTTGTTATGTCAATATGAGAAAAAAAGAAGCATGATCTGTAATCAATACGTAGTTAAAACAAACGGAAATAATCATATGAGAATACATAATATTATATGTAAATAAAAAAAAATTTTACGGTGAGGAACAAGAGATCAAGTGTCTTTCTTGACTAGTGTAGTATATAAAAAAAAGAAAGATATTCTTTTTATAATCATATATGGTTGAATAATGAAAATTACGTAATTTATATCGTCTCTACAGAACATTTATTTGAAGAGAATTAGTTCTGTATCAATTATTCAATGATTTTGTTGTTGGCATTAAAAGTTTACGTATATGTCGATCAATTTGACAAGCTTTTGCAAATTGATCTTTTCCCAAATATCCTAATGAATCACATTCAACTTTAGAAAATAATTCATGAACTTTTGTATCAATTCTTGATGGATCGCTAATGTCAACACCCATTAATTCATAAATTGACTAAAAAACAAAAAGAAAACTTTTTCATATGCATACAATAATTATTTGCATTTAGGATAAGTGGTACTCTTTTTTTTTTACTTCAATGACAGTCCTCACCTTCACACCTTGATGTCTATGTGTGAAGTACACCGATTAGTGTAATGACTGTGTTTGAAGTATAAAAAAAAAAGGACGTAATAAACATTTTAAAAAAAAAAAAGCATACTTCAAGAACAGATCTCATTTCATTTTGATCAATGAGGCCATTATGATCAATGTCATACATAGAGAAAAAAAGTTCAATTTTTCGTACTGGATCTTTGGATGCTGTTAAACTAACAGCAAAAAGAAATTCCATAAATTCTAAGAAAACAAATATATTTTATTTTTATTTGTTTGATGATCTAATAAAATATACCCATATGTCCTGAACCATCTTTATCAAATAATCGAAAGGCATGTTCACAAAATTTTGTAACATGACCTTTTTTATAAAATTGTTGATAAATATCAATAAATTTTTTTTTTGAAAGTTTACCATCAGGACAATCACGCTATGAAAAAAAAACAAGTAAATATTTTTTTCTTTATAATTATTTATGTATACATACAAGAAAATCTTCATACCATGCGAGTATATTTTCTCGAGTAAATCCTGTCTTCTTTATTAAATAGGTAATATCATCAGAACTAAGTCCATTTAGTGGTGTCTTACGTCGTCGACGATGAGATCTTTTTTTATGTAAGTTAATTCCATGATCTTGATCACTAATTCCTTCCGATGTACTGTCAACACTTTCATCTAAATTTGAAGGAATGGTTG